ACAGTGCATAATGGTAAGCACACAAACACAAATCCAAGTGCCTTTTTCATCTTTGAATGCAATAGATCAACTATTTGAACTCTGTTTTCATGATTGGCACACTCGGCTTGCTTGTTTCACTCTGGAAAGATCTCAAGTCTGTATGCTAGCTCATGGATTCAACACATGGCTTTTTTAAAAAAACATTTTATTTATCTATTTGAGAAAGAGAGAGAGAGCGCATAAACACAGGCAGAGGGAGAAGCAGGCTCCCCGTTGAGCAGGGAGCCCGATGCAGGACTCCATCCCAGGACCTGAGATCATGAGCTAAGCCAAAGGCAGATGCTTCATCGACTGAGCCACCCAGGCGCCCCAACACATGGCTTTAATTCACACACAGTGCTTCTGTGTTCTTTGCCAGGCAAACCAACGTAAGAAGCGCTATCACTGACTTCTCTATCCACCTAATTACACAATGTCACAATCTAACCAGTACTATATATGGTGGTATGCGTTGTGCACTGCACAAATTTAGGAAGCAGTCTTCCCAATGCAGTGTGTTAATGTGACCCCTAGAGTTGCGCGGTACACACCATGAGCAGTAATATCTGGAGATCATGAAAATCTATCCATTTACTTATTATTTTTTAAGATTCTGTTTTTGGGGCACCTGGGTGGCTTAGTCGTTCAAGCGTCTGACTCTTCATCTCAGCTCAGGTCTTGATCTCAGGGTTGTGAGTTCGAGCCCCGCATTGGGCTCCTTGGTGGGCATGGAGCCTACTTAAAAAAAAAAAAAAATTAAGGATTTTATTTTTAAGTAGTTTCTACACCCAATATGGGGCTCAAACTTAGCCTGAGATCAAGAGGCCCCCGCTCTACAGATTGAGCTAGCCAGGTGCCCCATTTTACTTATTTTCTTAACCAGGAGATCACTACATAAATCTAAGTCTAAAGCAACCTATTTATGTCCTGGTTCCATGTACCTCTTTCCTCCTCTGTAACAGAACCATTATAACATCTATTTGACAGATGCGGAGTGAAGATTAAGTAGATTAATGCACAGAAGTCCTTGGAGGCAAGCCGGGGATGCACGAGCCTAACTGAGCATGAGCCCCTGTTCCATCCTCTCCCAGGGGGCCAGCTCTGGGACCAGTTCCTACCTCACCTGCAGTGCCAGACAAGGTGCTACAGAAACTTGTATGATCTCCGCTCTGGACACGATGGCTGGAAACAGGTCTCCCTGAGACCAGCTCTAACAGATGGTCTGTCTGATCCCCCCACTCTCTCTCAGCAGTTCCCGACCCAGGGCATCTCCCTTGTCTGATAAAACACCACACGCATCCTCTCCTGAATTATCTGCAACCCTGACTTCTCCCAACCTCTTCATACCACGCTTGTTGCCTTCAACCTGAGAGGCAACAACTCTCAGATCTTCCTGCAGAAGGTCCTGATGTGTGGCAGGAACTGAATGTGTTCCACCCTGACTTTTAAAGAAAAGCATCAGAAGCACGAATCGCAGGAGTTACGTGGTATTATTTCAGAGGGTGCAGAAACAAGTCGGCTTGAAGACATTACATTGTCTTTTGATCTTTTTTCTAAGACTAAAATCTGATTAACAAAACTAAAGCACCACAGTCAGCAGAGTGCTTAATGTATGCAGAGGAAATATGGGTTTAAGGATTTCAAAGGTTATAAAGTTTATAGGGATTTCAAAGACTATTTTATTTTTATTTTTTTGAAGATTTTTGTTTATTTATTTGAGAGAGAGAGTGAAAGCACAAGCTGGGGGAGGGGCATAGGGAGAGGAAGAAGCAAACTCCTCGCCGAGCAGGAAGCCCGACGCGGGACTCGATCCCAGGACCCTGAGATCATGACCCGCGCCGAAGGCAGATGCTCAACCGACTGAGCCACCCAGGTGCCCCAACTGACTGCAATTCTTTTGGATAAATACCCAGAAGTGGGATTGCTGGGTCATACGGTAATTCTATTTTTAATTTTTTGAGGACCCTCCATACGGTTTTCCATAGTGGCCGCATCAGTTTGCATTTCCCCAATGCATGAAGGTTCTCTTTTCTCTACATCCTTCTCAACACTTGCGGCTTTTTTTTTTTTTTTTTTTAAGTAATGTTCACCACCCTTCAATCTTGAAAAGGAAGAGAGTCCCGCAAAATGCAACAACACAGATCAACCAGAGGGATGTTATGTGACATGAATTAAGTCAGTCACAGAAGGACAAACACTGCAGGATTCCATTGACAGGAGGTATGTACAATAGTCAAACTTACAGAAGCAACACAGCAGCATGCTGGTGGCGAGGATCTGGGGGATAAGAAAGATGGGAAGCTGCACATCATCGGGTAGAAAGTGGCAGTTATGCAAGATGAATTCTGGAGGTCTACCGTGCAGCCTAGTGCCTAAAGTAAACAGTATTGCATTGTACACTTAAAAGTCAAACAGGCTAGATCTCAGCTGAAGTGTTGGGACAACAATCAAATTGAAATAAAAATATAAAAGAACAACACACACACACACACAAGAATTAACGCATGGGGCTTCTACTGAAAGCAACACCAGTGAATCAGAAAAACTGTCTGCAATACAAAGAGCTTTCACAACACGTCTCGCTCATCTAGTGTGACCAACCTACTGGATTAGCCAAGGTAACCAGTCTACCTGCTATGACACCATCAACCTCCGGATCTCAGTGGCTTAAGAGAGAAAAGTCTGGATCTTGGTCAGGTTGCAATCACCTGGTAACCAGGCAGCTCTCCGTGGTTGCCCCAGCTGGTGACGTGGCTCAGGGTTCCAGGCTCTTGTAACTGCACCGTGGCATCCTCATTCCTCAGGATCTTCTCTGAGTCCTTACCTGGATGTTCTGCGCTCAGCGGCCACAGCAAAGATGACATGCACGGAACTTTCTGGCCAGGCCCGAGTGTCTCATGGTCCCAACACGACAATAAGGGAAGACAGAAATGCGTCCCTGCCTCGTACCAACAGACATGAAACTGCCCACTTGCTGCAGGAGAAAGTTTCTGCCTCAAATGTCATTACAAAGAGGCCATGCCCACTGGGGAACACGCCCTATCTTTGTAAATACGGCACTTTACGTACTTAATTTTGCACCTTGTGCTCAATTTAGACAATATGCATTTTCATAGTCAACTCAAAGTACATAGTTATAAAAAATACAGTCACTGGAGATTTTGCCTTTAGGAAAACACCACCATAGACAATACAGTTTGTAACGTGAGACTCTCACATGAACCGTGAGGCCAGTTTTATATCCTAGACTTCAATACGAAAGTGACGGGTTGCACACTGGGTAAAGCAAACCCAGGCATTGTGCAATCCACCTCTAAAAAGATGTGATGTATTTGCCACGTAAGCCAAACAGCGCTACCCTGCAAACTCATTTAGAGCACTTGAACCTCATGAGTAGAACCCCAAGGATGACCAGGGCGCTAGAGTCCCCCACTTAGACCCACTGGTGGTGTCCTGGAGGGAGCCTGGATTTAACGGGGACACTGACATCACACAGCACGTTCTCTGAGGGCTAACGAGCGCATAATGAGGCTCGAAGCCAGCTCGGAGCATCTGCAAGTCACCACGCGTCATCCACACAGACCTCTCCCTAAGGACCCACGTTAGCGTTTGTGCAGAAGTGCTGCGTCAAATGGGAACCCACGTGGGGCCCTCTGTGCCCGCACTCTTCCTCGTCCTTCTTACCGCTGCCGTGCTTGATTCTGACTCGGCTTCGGTCTTCCAAAGGAATCCCGTCTCAAGACCGGACGAGAGATCAATGTTTTCTGTTTCTCAATTTCGACCCTGCAGACTTCTCTGCTGCAAATATCTCATGAGCACAAGAGGTGTTTCCCCCACGTACAGGGCCACTCGAGACTTTGACGTGCACACAAAGGGAAAACATAGTAAATAGGTTTTAAGATAATGACATGTTGCGTGCGATCCTAAAACACGTGAAAACACATTAAGATCCTATTCTATGACTGTATGGGTACACAGGTGTATGTGATCTTCAACCTTCAATGTTCATCTTGTTCTTTCCGATTTTAAAGGGAATTAAGGCATTTTTCACGCGCCCCCGAAAAGACCTGAGGCAGTGTGCACGTCCGATCAGATGGGAGGGGCTGTTGTATTTCCTGTCTGTCTCTACACTTCCGACCCCTCCCTGCAGCTTAGGGATGCAATCAGTATTTGTCCCATCGAAACCCGTAGCCCCCATCACTTCACACAGTCAACCCTCCACATACTTGCTGCATCTAGTCACGCGAGAACACCAAGCACTACAACACATTTCGTCGCCAAGGAAAATTTTATTTTACTTTTGCATGGACATCAGAACGGTGTTTTCAGAAACCTTAAGCACGTGCGTCACTTTACAGATGGCATCGTTCAGACGTGGACCAAGTCCTTTCCCTGCATCTTTTCTCCCCTCTCCCCTGTACGTCCTCCAAGACAATCCGATGTCTGTTTCTTTTCTTGAATCCTTCACGATGCAGGCTGCGATTCTGCTTTTCACGCAGGGTTACTGACCTTGGGAAATGAGGTCTGTCCATAGTTCCTGTTTGCTTAGCGTGTTAGGTAGGACATGCTACGAATAGAAAGCCTTCTTTCTTTTAAAAGAATCTGTTTAAAGCTCCAAAACCCAGTAAGGTTTAGATGTACAACTCAAGAGGTAATACCAGTGAGATGTTTTGAAAACAAGTAGCCTCATACAGACTCGTAAAAACAAAACAGACTAGGTCATAAAGAAGGCTTGCTAGGTGTCTGCTGAAAAAAGAATTCAAATGTCCTGCTGTGGACCCCAAGCAAAACTTTCAGATGGCAAGTGGGTTGAAACCTAAGAATTATGCTTATCATGAATAAATTTGATTTTCCAATACCCTGATTCATAACAGTCATAAGTTATTTTGAGGCCAATAGTTTTTTTTTAAGATTTTATTTGCTTATTTGAGAGAAAGAGAGAACACAGAAGCAGGGGGAGCGGCAGAGGGAGAGGGAGAAGCAGGCTCTCCGTTGAGCAGGGGGCCCGATACGGGACTCGATCCCAGGACCCTGAGATCATGACCTGAGCCAAAGGCAGACGCTTAACCATGTGAGCCACCCAGGCGCCCCTTAAGGCAAATACTTTAAAGCTTATTTTATTTCTAGAGGTATATGTCCTTCATTGGCTGCTAACATTCAGTACAGACTTAACAACTCTACACATACATACGTATTCACATATTCTATAAAAGTGCTTCCTTTCACTTAATCCTCCAACACACATCCCCACCCCCTGAAGTGTTGTCTAGAAGAGTCCACTTGCATTGAGTGTGTTAAACTTTGAGTAAACATGATCAGCGTAATACCGAAGTTTGTAATAGTGGTTTTAAATAGTTTCTGCATAGTAATACCAGCAATAACCCCACCCCGTTATTAACAAGCTAGTACAGTCGTTAGCGAAGGTTCCTAAAGCAACAGGACAGATTCTCAGCCATTTCTGGAGTTAGAAATCCACATGAAAAATAAGAAACCCGTTTGCTCGCCAACTTTCAACCTTTCCCGGGGAGGGGAGGAAAAAAACATCACTTGTAGGTTGTAAGAAAAGAAAGATGTAAAATGTGAAATCACGGATCTCAAGAGGAAATGCAGTAATACTACTGGATCTTGGAAGTTCTTCCCGGGGTGGGGAACACGTGGAGAGACATGTGGCCCATGGTCAGGGTGTCTGAAAGCACACATTCTCTCCACAGGGCCACGCGGGGTCCAGGCTTTGCATCGATCTGCCGTCTCCTGGAACGGAGCAAACACTGGGCCAAGAGGGAATGCTCAGACATGTGCACTAAAGAGACGAATGGATAAGCACGGGAACAGCAGGTCCTCTCCACTGACCCGAAAAGGAATCCACACGATACCGTTGGCAGATGTCTAGAGTCTGATCGAGTGACATGAGCATCCTCTACTCAGGTGCATTCTCTCCTCCGTGGGGGCTGGTGGTGCAGACTCAGGACCTTCCTCCTACAGAGCCACTGCCCACTGCCTCCTACGTGGCCTGCTGATGCCCTGCCCCTCAATTACTGATGTCGGAATAAGCAAGATTAAAGCGAAATTGTACATCTCATCGAGGCACAGGAAGGCACAGGTATTTGTTAGCCACACAATACAAGTGTAAAAAACAAAGGTACCTATATGAACTACTGTGGTCTCATCAGTAAATTCTGCAAGAACGAAAGGTATCATGATATTGTGCAAGGGTCATGGACTGCTTACGAGTTCTCCCCCGCCGAGTAACACACTTTCCAGGCCAATAATTCTGCACTGCATTGGGAGGGATTCCTCGTGCTATACTATCCCCGAGGTAGCCTTTATCTGGGAACTTCCATTCACCAAAGAAACAGTAAAACCCAAATGTAACACTATAAATTATGCAACGGAAATCCATTCAGGACAGATTGTCTTGGGATTATGGTTCCCGAAGGATTTCACAAAAAAGTCTGCTGCACGAGAAAAGTCTTATCTGTGAACCTCTCTTGCTTTTACCTAAATAGTGTGAAGCTTCTAGTTTTATAGTTCAAATATCTCTGAATTCCCGAGGAAAGAAAGAAACTGTGTATCTGTAAATATATCTATCATGCATAGTTTTTAATATGTGCTCTAAATAACACTGATAATAACTGCCTTCCAAATCAAATTGCAATTGAGCATCATCTATTATTGGTGAAGAAGATGGTCCTTTACTCATTCTAAGTTGCATATATTAAGATTCAGTAAGTGCTGTTTAAATGCTATTCCGTTGTTTATTGGTGTGCCAGGGAAATCATGGCGGCCGATGCACCACAAGGCATCGTGGAATAACGGCACCTTATGCCATGGGTCCACTCATTTGCAGAGGAGTCAGCATGATACTTTCTGCTCCTCCCCACCCACCCGACCCCCCACACTTACAGGACTCTAAGAATTTTGGCCACGGAACCCCACGTCTGGCATTTATCCCTGTGTATACCGTACACTTTGCTTTCCCCCTGGGGTAACCGGGGGGCTCTTGACGGAGCCTTTGGGCAGTAAGATGGAGAGAGGCTCCCAGTCCAAGGTGCCGACAGGGCTGGCTCTCCGCAGGGCCGCCGCCCTGTGTGTGCACAAGGCCAGAGGTGCAGCGGATGCCGGGCCTCTGTCCCCGGACATGCACCTAGCGGCTCGCCCTCCTGGCCTGTTCCTCCCGGTCACACTGGCAGGACAGCCCGGAAGACGAGCAGCACATCTGAAGCCATGGCTTCCAGAGAATGTTGCCCAGTGACAGCTGATTGGGGACCTCCTGCAGGGTCTCGGTGTGGCGGTCTGCGGCCCGCCGCATGACGTCGACGATCTCCTGGAAGCGGGGCTCGGTCGTCGGCGATATCGGGTTTCTCTCCCTGGGGTCTCTGGAAATATCGAAGAGCAGCGGCGGGTGATGCTGGTTCACAAACTGCCCATGGCATAAACACACGTGTGTGGAAAAGCACCCGTTGGCGCCCTCGGGGCTGAACTTGGGCGTGAAGAAGAAGGCCTTCCAGACGGACGTGCCTGTGGTTTACAAGGACACAGGTTGGCGTGGGGTGGGAAGCGCCCTGAGCCTCACCGCAGCAGGGAGCAAGCACAGACACTACGTGGCCGTGTGCTTCCGGAATGCGGGGCACCGGACGGGCGTCTCGTCCTTCCCGCTCCAAAGAAGAACACCATAGCCCCAAAAAACAGCAAGAGCATGCATTAAGCTGTAATGGCCAAAGAAGAAACGGTAAGACGGACAGAACGACGGCTTCTATGAGGCAAATTTACACAAGGTCACCATGGCGTTTTCTTCTTATGCACAAAAATCTCTCTATTTCCTCCCATCTCCTTCTTCCTCCTCTTCCCCAACCCCCAATGTCCGAGGCAATGCTGTGCAGGCAAGAGAAGAAAAAGCCTATGAATCGTCTGCTCAGAGAAAACTCAGCCAGGATGGTCGTTTGGGTCTCATGGACTTTACAGCTTGGAACCACAGGGCAGACATTCGATAAACACACACACACACACACACACACACACACACACACGGACAAACAGATTATTTTTGTTTGTCTCTCTACCACCCAGCTCTACCACCTAGTTCTAGCATTTCCTGCTCTCCAACCTTTTCAACCTGTGGCCTCTATTTCCGTTTAAAATTAAGAGGATCTGGGGTGCCTGTGTGGCTCAGTCGTTAAGCGTCTGCCTTCGGCTCAGGTCGTGGTCCCAGAGTCCTGGGATCGAGC